TGGTGGACTGAGAGATCAGTCCAAGGGAACCCCACTTGCTCTGCCTGCCCCTGCAGAAACCCAGCACATTTCTTGCAGGCAGCTCTGGAGCATCCCTCTCTGTAAGAGGACAAGATTAGCCTGGAAACACTTGGTATTTCTTCAGCCTCGAGAGATTGTCCTTTCTTCTGCCAGAGCTGTCCCTGCGGCCGCCAGGGCCCGTCCCTGCAGTGGCAGCATGCCCAGCCCTGTGCCTGTGGATGCCTGAGGGTTGCCCAGACCTGCCATGTGCCAGATGGGCACAAGCACCCGTCCGGACAAAGTGCTGCAGCCCCGGGGTGTGCCTGGGTAATCCGTACTGCTGCTGCATCTTAAGCAGGCACTGGAAGTCTCTGGGGCTCCTGGCCAGGAGATGCAGTGCCATTGGCAGTATCCTGCAGGCATGGCACAGTGCTGCCGTGCCACTCAGCCCGGTGCTCCGGCACAGGGAGGCTGCGCCTTCTGCTGCAAAATCTGGTCTTGGATAAATCAGCGACATTTGTGAGTGACATGTGATGTTGGAGGTTCCCCCATCCCTGGTGGCAGCTCAGCCCTTGCTGCTCTTCACGCCTGGCACAGAGCTGCATGCAAGGGCTGCTAGAGCAGAGCCACTGCCCCAGTCACACAGGGAACACGATGCAGGGCACAACCACCCACATGGGCTCACAGCCTAGGACCTTGTGCCCAACTCGCTGCAGACCCTGGGAGTCCTCAGGACCTCTCTACAAGGAGGAGCACATCCTGGGTGCCACCAGGCCCCAAATGGTGCTGCTTCCTCCTGCTTCAGGGACACTGGTTGGGAGAGAGGCACAGGCACCCCAAGAACTGATGTCCCAGGAGGAGAGCAGGCTGAAGGTCTTCCTCTGCCTTTGCCACTGATGGTCTGTGAAAGCCAACAAAGTGTATTATTGCCTTTAATTTTAACTGCTTTCTTTGCACTTCTTGCTGTTGCCTGGCTGATGCTTCCCACCTTCATTTGCATTTTGCTTTTCATGATTCCAGGTGACATTGGTTTCAAGGGAAGTATGTAACAGTAATGTGTTTCCCTTTCAGGATGAGGGATACCTGTAGATCAAGGCCACAGGGGATGTTTGTGCATGTGGTGGGCAGTAGCCTCCACATAGCACATTGCAGGTAAGGATGCAGGTAAGGATGCATCCTAGAGCAGAGCTGGCCGTGCCCCCTGGGGAGGAGGCAGGTCCCATGTAGGCAGTGAGGTCTGAGGGTGTTCTGAACCCAGAGGAGTTTTCCAGGGAGGACTGCCTATTTATAAATGCCAAACTAACATAATTTTATTATTATTATTATTAGTAGTAGTAGTAGTTAAAATCAGATCAGAAGACAGTGATCACAAAGACTGTGCACAACAATGGTTTATGTTATAAAATCATACGTTCTTTGTTGTGTCTAGTATTGGGGCCTAGAAAATTGAGAAGCCCAGAGAGGCATCAGTGATGGATGACTAAGGCAAGCACAGGGCCCTTGAATACAGGTGGAGGAGCTGGGCTGGTTTCTCCTGGTGAAAAGGTGCCAGGAGCTGATCCAACAGCAGCACTGGAAAGGCAGTTTAAAGGATGATGGACTCAAATCCTTCTTGGCAGCAGTAACCACAAAATAAGTCCTGAAAGGTTAAGATGAGATGTTGGAATGGTGCAGCCTTGCCAGGTCACCAGAAGGGTGGGGGAATGGGTGCTATGGCCCAGGTAGGCAGAACCATGGCTGATCTCATCTTGTGTAGATCACCAAGGTGGTGTTGGGAAGGGACCTCTGGAAATCCCTTACACAGCCTTATTTGTCTTCGTTTTATTGTTCCCTAATCACTGACTGGACAATTTTACCTATACAGCAATGAGTCACTTCTTTTGAGACCACTTGAGCAAAAGCGGTTAATCTGCAAATAAGGTGCTTTGGGTTCCTGGTCACAAAGTACTAATTAATTCCACATTTACAGACATTCTTCACACTGTGGCCAAGGTGCTGCTCTGGAGACAGAGGGAAGATACAGCACAGGATGGTGTTTGGTTAGCCAAAGGTTGCCCAGTGCAGGATGAACAGAGCAGGTACAGGCACGGCTTGGGGCTAGAGAAAGAGCAGGCACGACTAGGGAAAGGGAAGGGCACTGGCAAGGAATACTGCACACATGCTGGTCTTCTATAAGCAGAGAAAGAATCTGAAGCTGGGGACAGGAGAGAGAAAACATACATGTGAGATTTCAGCAGTGTCCACAAGTGCCATCCACGGGCAAGGAGCCAAACTGAGGGAGGAGAAGGGGTGGTAGGTGGAGTTGTGGGTTGGAGCAGGTGAGAAATGATAAAGGGGAATGCTGCAGAGAAGGAAGTCCTGCTTCGCTGGGAAGAGCAAAGTGGTGATACTGGTCTGCGTGGGAGACTTGGAGGAGGCATGGAACGGGGCATGATGGATCTGTGTCCCTTGGCTGTGTCCTCTGCAGTTAATCTACAAGCGTGCAGTAACAGGTACCTGCAGAGGACACCAGCACTGCCCAGTGGGGCTGTCCAGCAGACACCCATGACTGGTGGAAGAGCTGTATAGCTCAGGGGAGAGCATCTGGGGAAATCCAGGAGGCCTAAAGGGAATGTGCCAGCTGGACAGCACAGAACATCAGTGCCAGCTGCTGCTGGACAGGCCAGGACTTCAGTGGGTGCAGTGCAGGGCTGTGCCAGCTTCCTGTGGGGCCTGGGAGGCGGGATGGCTGCACGAAGACTGCCCTACCCTCGGTTAATCAGACTGAGTCTCAGTAGAGCTAATTAGCTCCAACAGAGTTTCTTTTGGTGCTGGAGCATCCCTGCATCAGCTGGGAGGATGGAGTGACTGCACACTGCCAGCCCCGCTCCTCTTCCCCAGCAGCCCTGGGTGCTGCTGGTCTGGCTGTGGGTGCTGAGCAAAGCCCTCAGCGTTGGGTGAGTGGGAACAGGCATTCCAACGGGGTCTGGTTGTGAGAAATTCCAGTGGAAAGCCCACCTCGGCTGGCTTGGCTCACTGTTAGCCAAGTGCCAGTAAGTTCTGCTCCCAGCCAGTGCTGGACCCGAATCTTGCCGGTTGCTCCCTGCCAAGTTTCTCCCTGGACAGGTGGCTCACCCAGCCCATGTCCTAAGCCTGCTCCCAGCGCCTCTCCGGGAACACCCCTCCGAGAGCGACATTCCCTGGCGCTGCATTCTCTAGAGCATCCCACCGGGCAGCGACATTCTCTCCTCCCGGGCCAGCGGCCTCCCAGCGCTGCTCCCGCACTTCGCTCCGACGTTCGCAGCTCGACGGGCGGCAGCGCCTGCGGGGCCGGGACGGGGACAACCCCCGCGGCAAGGCCGGGCGGCGCGGGGCTGTGCCGTGCGGTGTCCCTGTGCTGTGCGGGGTGGGGCTGTGCTGTGCGGTCTGGGCGGGGCGGGGCTGTGCGGAGTTGTGCGGTGTCCCTGTGCTGTGCAGTGTCCCCGTGCTGTGCGGTGTCCCTGTGCAGTGCGGGGCTGTGCGGTGTCCCCGTGCTGTGCGGTGTCCCCGGGCCGTGCGGGGTCCCCGGGCCGTGCGCTCTGTGCGGGCTCTGTGCGGGACCAGGCCCTGTCCACATCCGGGCCCCGCGCGGACGTGGAGCGCGCGGGCGGGGCGGCGCGCGCGGGGGCGGCGGCGCGGCCAATGAGCGGCGCCGCCGGCGGCGCAAACAGGAGCACAATGGAGCGGGCGGCGGGCGCGCCGCAGACAAGCTTGGCGCGAGCACCGCGCGCCTGACGGGCCGGCCCGCCAATGGGCGGCGGCGCTCGGCCCCGGGCAGCCAATGGGCTCGGCGCGGGGGCGGGCCCGGGCGAGGTTAGGGTGTCCTTGCAGGGTGCTGGGCTAAACTTCACCAAATAAAAGCTGTTTGTGTTGGGGCGGCCGCGGAGCCATTTTGGGTAAGTTCTGCTCCCAACTTTGGGTTCCCCCGCCCGGCGGGGCCGGGCCCGGGGCGGCGGGGCCGGGGCGGCGGCGGGGCCTCGCCGGGGCGGCGCTATGAATGAACTCGGCGGCGGCGGCGGCGCGGGCCGCGGGGCGGGCGGGGGCCGGGGCGGCCGCCGGCTCTGTCATGGCTCCGGCCGCGGGGAGGGGCGGCGGCGGCGCCCCCGGGCCCTCCGCGCCGCCCTCCCCCGCCCCCCGGGCCGCGGCGCCGCGGGGGGGCCGCGGCCCGTCCCGCCGGTCCTGCGGGGCGCGGGCACTGCCGGCTCCGGGCCGGCAGCGGCGGCGCTCCCGGGGCGTGCGGGGCCGGGGGCGGGGCGGGCTCCCCGCGGCGCTGCGCGGAGGCTCCTCCCGGCCCGGAGGGGGGAGCGAACCCCCCGGCGCGGGGTGCGGGTGCCGGAGCCCCCCCGCGGGGCGCAGCTCCCCGCCGGCATCCCGGCCGCGGAGCTCCAGAAAATCCATAACTGCGGCTTTAAACTTGGCGGGCGGGGGCAGCGGGGCCCTGTGCGGGCTGGAGGCGCGGGGGCGGCGCGGGGGGTTGCGGGGGAGGGGCCGCTCCCCCCGCGGATAACGCGGGCCGGTCCCGCTGCGCGGAGCAGCCGCGGGCTGTGGTGACACCGCAGCCATGTCACGGCACACATCGCAGCCGCGTCTCGCCGCAGTCATCGCGCCCGCTGCGTGTCGGTGCCCGCGCCGGGGGGTTCCCCTGTGCCCGCCAGTGGCGTTCGCTGGCGATGGAGGTGGATTTTAGCCTTGATCGTTGAGGTCTGTAAGGGTGAACGCTGCGAAGGACGCACACAAACAATACGGGAAGAGGAAGCGAAATCCTCAGCTTGGTTGCTGCTGCGGGGGTGCAGCACCCGCCTGGGAGCAGCGGCCCCTCTGTTTATCGATTCGCCTCCTGCCAACTACACTGAACTCGCGGTGGAGTCGGGGACCGCGGGGGCCAGGCCGGTGGCCCCGCAACACACAGAGCTGGTGCTGCCTGCTCTGGTGCTGGCCTTGGATGTGGTAGTTCTTCCGCAATTTTGCTATGAAAGGTGCTTGGTTTGTTTCTTCAGTGAGTTGGGATGCTTTTAGCCCAAAGCTCAGGCTTTTTTGTTGTTTACCTCCTGCTCGAGAAATGCAGCAAATGCTGTTGGGGTTGGAGAATGAGAGGGGTGGAGATGGTTCGCTGTGGTTGTGCAGTGTCCTGTGGGTCTGGGCAGAAGCCTCCAGCACCCGTCAGGCAGCCCCAGCCTCCGTGGCAGAGGGCTCCCAGGGGGCAGACGGATGCGTTGCAGTCGTTAGATGTTTGTCCCTTCGGTCGCAGGGTATCTCTTTAACTGATATGGGGTCAGTTGGATACGAATGTTGCTGCAGGAGAGGAAACACTGAGCTCTGAGTATTTTCCTCGCTGTGAAGTGTTGCTGTTGCTTTTGGGCCCCATTCAGATGATAGCACAGGAATAGATGCTGTCTTACCCCCACTTGCCCTTTGTTTACCTTGTCCACGCAGTAGCTTTGCTGTGCTGCTTTGCAGAGAAATTGTTGTTTTGGTCCAGCTGTTGAAGTATGAAGCAATAACAGCATATTTTGCTCTGAGAGTAAATTCTTCCTGGAGTAAATAGATTGTTTCTCTCAAGGTTTTTGGCCTCCAGCTGGGTTGATTTTGGTTTAGGGCTGTCCCTGGGTTCCTTTCCCGAAAATTGATTCATCTTCCACTGCAAAGCGTAATGTTGCTGTCTGTTTGCCTTTGGGAACACTAATTCAGCCCATGTTTCCAAATTGGTACAGCTGTGTGAACTTGCAGGTCCTTCAGGAGCGCTGGACACACTGCTGCGTTGGCTTTGCTGCAGAGATGGGCAGCATGGCAGCAGTGGGGTGAAGCTGACTGAATGTTGCCCCTCAAGTGCTTCAAGCTGTAAAGCGTGATAACTAGGAGAGCTGGATCCTATCAAAGTGTCTGCATGTGCCTCGTGCACAGAACTGAAAATATGTGTTGTTATTCTTCAAACAAAAAACAAAGTCAAGGAGAGGACTTGGAGAAAAACTGATGTTGGTCCGTTTACATTTCCGTGAAGTTTGAAGCCCATCCTGCAGCCATGGGTGTTTATTCCTGCCTGTTGTGCCATTCCTCCCAGCAGAAACGTCAGCTGCCCTGTCCCTGAGGAGGCAGTTGCAGCCCCTTGCTGCGGGCTGGTGTGGGTACCCTGTTTGAACCTGTGAGACTAAGGCAGCTTTGTACTGTTTCTCATGCTCACAGCTGTGAATAATGGGCATCTCTTGCACAAGATGCTATCACGGGGACCCTCATTACCTTGTTCTGAGCGCTGCTGTCTGATTTGGTAGTGTACATTTGTTTAAAGGCTTCAGTTTACCTCTCCCTCCATTGCCCTGCGTGGTGGCCTTGGGGGACAGTGGCTCTGTCTACGCTGCTAGTCTTTAAGCAGCTGGCCCTAGGTGTACCAGTGCTAGACACAGTGTTCAGTGCTGTGGGTGTTTTTGGGGTCTGTTGATTTCTAGTGGCTTGGTGGAGAAGGCTCTCAGAGGAATATCTCGTTTTCCTGACTGCTTTTTACTGTATTTCTTCAACAGGAAACAAATCTCTGCCCCTCGCCAAATGTAATCTTAATAATTTTTAAGATTTAGTTTTCTTGAGCGATCTGTAATATTTTCTCACCAGTTTCTCCAAAGACAAACTTTTACAGGTGGCTAATATGAAGGTCACTGTAATGGATTGTGTTATTTCAAGAGGGCTTTGCACAAGCATGTGAACTTGTTTTTGTGAGATGGCTCGGCTGCCAGAGCAGGCCTTTGTGTTTTGCTGTGGTGTCCTGGCCTGTCTGGGCTTTGCAGAGATAAGAGCTGGTGTGGCGCTCGTCAGCGTGCAGGAGAAGCTTGCCCTCGCAAAGAGCGGAGAGCCGATCAGCCTTGTGCTGAGAGCGAGCCCTTGGTGTGGGAACGTGGACTCCTGTGTTGGGTCTGGAGAGCAGGCATGTGGGGAGGCTGCTCGCAACCTCAGTGGTTGGATGTCTCACTGGGTAAGACTTTGGGGGAGCCAAGAGGGCTTCTTTCATTGCTCCTACAAGCAGCAGTGAGTGCATTTCTCCTCTTTCACCCCCAATTTCCTGCTTGGGACAGTGGAATCAACCTCTGGTGTTTGTGATTCCAGCCAGGCAGAGGCAGAGTGGTTGTTGGGGGCCAACAAGTGCTGTCAAAGGTTGAGAAGATAATCAGGGTGAGTGGTCTAAATGCAGTCAAGCAGCAGTGTTTGCTGTGGGCATGGTGTTGGTGCCAGTGCGTGCAGGGTTTGTGCAGTGGGTTCTCAGCACCCTAAAACCCTGTGAAAGCAGAGTTGCCCTTCACCGCGGGATTGGTGTCAGTGTCAGTGCCTGCATTGCCAAGCGTGGTGGTGGTGGGACCAAAATCCTGTAGGGAAGTGCAGGGCCCTGCAGAGCAGTGAGCTGTAAGTGCTGTTCTGGGCAGCACCTGTCCCAGCCAGCCTCCAGCCATCATCAGGCACAGCCTGCTGGAATAACAGCGCTGGGAAAGCTGACCAAACTGGCAGCAAATGGGGAAAACTGTGGTGCTGTGGGTGTCAGCTTGTGACATGAGGAGACTCTGATTTTGCTTTCTAATATCTCAGGCTGGTGCAATATGTTTTCCTTGTGATAGGACAATGCCTTCAACTTTCCCTTATATGGGAAAATCTGGGATGCAGCCTAGCAATCCGCCAATATGTGGCTAATAATTTTTAGCATTGTTGTGTTGGATGTGTCAAGTCATCCTAAGAATTAGGATGTCCCACCTGGGACACTGTGGCTAGTCTTTAATGTTTGAGGCAGATCCCTGGCAGATACCTGGGGAAAGCTTATGGCTGCGCCCTAGGGAATGCCTGAGCGCACTCGGCTCTTCGGGAAGTCAGCTAAAAGCTGGGAGAGTTTGTGCCTGGACATAGGGCTCCTGCCCTGCAGCTCCTGCCCTGCGCCGCACTGGGGCCCAGCGCTCAGAGAGGTACTGGGGGCCTGCCTTCTGTTGGCACGGGGGTGAGGCAGGGCAGCTCTTCACCCATCCTTTGTATGGGAACCTCCTCCCTGCAGAGGAAACGCTGCCTTGAGGTTAAGGGGTGCACGCTGCTTCTGTGCTGCAGCCTGTTGTCTCCAAGGCATTCTCAGCCTGTGGAGACTATAAATCCTGCTCTAACAGGAGCAAAACACGCCTTTCAGTTCAGAAAAGGAGAAGCGTGGGAACTGAGTCCCAGTCCCTCTTTGTTTTTCATGTGGGTGCTGGAAATGTGCTTGCAGAGGTGCATTGGGTATTGTTCAAGGAGTGTGGGTGTTTCTGTGGTGGTGAGATTTTGGCTTGGCTATGGGGTGCCCATCACACTTTCCATCTCTGGTTTCCCTACGAGGACTGCTGTTCTGTGATATTATGAATGTCTGTCCTCAGAGGTATATCGTGCCTTCTGCAGGCCTGCCTTTTCCCTCACTATGCGGCCCTTCTGTTGCACTAGGATAGGTACTGTTATCTGGTTGGTTGGTTTGGGATGGTTGGTTTTACTGGGATGGTTTGTTTTACTGGGCTGTTTTGGAGTTCTTCTGTTTTGTGTTTTTCCTGATGAGATCAAGTTTAGATCTCTTCTGGTGAAGCTTTCTGATGCTTATCTGGCTCTCTCTGCCATTTGGCTCAGTTGTTACGAGAAGTCTGGGTTGAAATGCAGGTAACTCATTGCTTCCTTTTGGGGTGACTGTGCCGAAAGCAGGGAAAAGTTATGATAATCAATTTGCAGAGTATTTGTTTTCTAAGTGTTTCCATGAAAGCATGGGATCTGTGGAACTCTGCTTTGCAGTAGAGTAGAAAGAGGCAGTATGTGGGGTCAGGCTGGTGTTGCCCCAACCCCGTGAACTGGCTGCATGTCCCTGCTAACATGCCCATTATTGCAGGGGAGGGACAGGTAGGCAAGGTTGTCTCATTCACTACCTGATGCGGTCCTAAAGCATGTGTTTGAATTACATCGTGGTAGCTCTGGCACAGGAACATAGGTGGAAGGGCATGAGTGTGTGTGTGGGACCCCAGGCCAGCAGCCCGTGGGAAGGCCTTGTGGGGGAAGAGCAGCCTCTGGCTGGCAGAATGCTTTGGGAGAGAAAGCACTTACTGCCCGTAGTGCTAAAGCCCCCTGGGAGGGGCCCCCAGCCCAGGAGGTACCTCATTTGCACTGCCTTGAAGGCAGAAGCAGGACTTCAGCCAATTGAGGGACTTCAGCTACCAGACCCTCCCTGTTAGCAGCCACTGCTAAGAGTTGTGATCCCTCTGTATTGCACTGGAAATAGGTATTTGTTTTATGGAATTTGTTTTATGGACATAGTTTCATTTTACTTCAGCTTTATACTCTATGGCTGCCTTGGAAGGTGAATTCCAGCGTTAGCAATTAGCTACATGCAGGAACGAGGGTGCTGCAAAGTTATGGGGGACTTCCACCTCTTTGACTTAGAGGTAGGTGAAGTATTGGTTCTTTAAGAAACATTAATGTCTTGTTATATATGTGCATCGAGGCAGAATTAAAGTTAGTCCTAGATACAAGAATAAATATTAGTGCTTTGCTATATACGTGCTGTGAAAGCTGCTATTTTTGTGTGAGCTACTGCCTTGAGTCTCTAGGTCTTGTGCACGGAGCACTTTTAACCCCCTTTCTTTCATCTGCTTTGGCTGAACTTAAAATATACTTTAGATAAAATGAAGTTTAAGTGTTCGGTGTCTGTTAATTGAGGATCAGAGAAGAGCCATTCTCTCTTGAGGACTCCCCTAAGTGCCTGGTGTATCCTTGCTGTACCCTGTGCTTGCTTAGCCTGACAAGGAGCGTGGTGGGGTGTGGAAATGCACAGCCCATTGCTCTTATTTGTATGCTTCTCTGCTTGTTGCTTTAGGGCAAGCAAAGCCCTGTTTCTCAGTGATCTTTCTCAGTCCCCGTAGGGTGCCCCTCACCAGAGTATCTGAGCCTTTCCCAGCATGCACTTTGGTGCATACATAAAAGCAGGTTTCTCTCCTCCACTGCTGACAAGAGACTGTGCTCGATTTGTTTGCATGGTGATGTTGTGGGGAGGCTGGCTGAAGCAAGGCTTGTGCTTACTTGTGAAGGTGCTGAGGTTTGTGGTTACCCTGATTTCTTCGGAGAGGTGGTTGCAGATTTGTGGGCCAGTCACAGTGGCTGCTCCACCTCCTTGTTCTGGAGGGTGAGAGTTTTTGTCTGAGAATAATGTCACTGGTTTGGAGTTGAGCCAGTCCCACACTGTGCTTTGAGTGTGAGGACCAGGGTCCTGAATCCAGAAGGCAAAGGAAGGAGTTGAGTCACTGTGGGCACAGGCTCTTTGAAGCTTTAGTAGTTGTAATTTCAAGGAGAGTGCCCTCTTCAGGGGCCTTGTAGTGAGGTATGACTTTGCAGCTTGCAGGCCCTGTGTGTTTGAATAGGTACAGCTGTGCCTGCATCTGACAGGGCACAGTGTTGTTGGGTGTGGAGATATGATTATCTGCAGATGCTGCTCTCTGGTTTCTAGACAGGCTCTCCACTGGCTGCTGTACTGAATGGAACATGGCACTAGGGCTGAGGACAGTGCTCTTAAACCCTTTCCTGGATCCAGCTCTACCTCCTGCTCTTTCTGTCACTCTGAGCTGGAAGAGGGAGATGTCTGACAGAGAAGTGGATTTCCAGACCTTGTTGCATGATTGTTACTCCACAGACGCCTGCTGAAGGAAGAGCTCAGAAAATGAGTGGCTTATCCAGGTACAGAGGGAGAGGAGATGCGGAAGCTGTGTTGGCATGGACTTCCAACAGATATGTGCAGTGAGATGGGCTAGGACATCGGTCTGTGGGAACTGTGCTTTCCTGCTGTGTCCAGGGTTTGCTCACCTGGCCTCCACATTCCTACATGTCAAAGGAGACTGATGTTTATAGACCTGCCAGGCAAGCAGGGACAAGAGTCTCTTAGTGGCTTGGCTCAGCTGGTGCTGTGTGCTTGCCTGCTGTCTGGGTGACCCCATGATGATGGTGCTGGTTGGCCAGGAGTGTCCTGGACATCATCTGTCTGTGTCCTGGAGGAATGCAGCTTGAGTCCAGGAGAGACCCACAGCAGCTCTGCCTGTGTGCTGTTGGAAGAGGCTTGGTGTGCTCTGGGGTTCCAGCTCTGTTTGGAAAAAGGGACTCTGCAACGCTGGGGCTCTGCAGCCTGTGTTAGTGATGGTGGCTTGGTGCGCTCTGGCATGAGGGGTGTGCTCAGCTGTGGCTCTCCAGTCTGGCAAGGCTGATGCTCTCTCCACTGCCCCCTGAGCTAACTCTGACCACAGGATCATGAGCTGGGGCAAGAAGGGGCTACCTCTCCATATGTGCTTTCAGTAGCATTTTACTTGCAGCATGTCCAGGCAGGGCCTTGGGTGCTTGCTGTTTAAAAAGGCTACCCAAGTGTATGAAAGCATTGCCCATAGCTGAGGAACTGGCATCATTGAACCCCAAGCATTTGTGTATGAGGAATTGAGGAATGTCTCTTTGGCACTGCTCTCTGCCTTCCATACTTTAGTCGTTCTTGGGACTGTGTAAAAGATACAAATGTAAGGAAGCATTGAGATGATTGAGAGGAAGGTCTTGTTACATCTGAACTCTGGAGACTGTTCTCCAGAGTGACTTCAGCTGAGATTGTGTAGAACTTGTATCTCAGAGGGTTAAATTCAAAGCAATCTGCAAGCCCTTGGAGGTGAATGTCAGGGATTTATAGTCCTTGCTGGGCAATGGAAGTGAAGGTGTATGTAAGGATGTGAACCTGGGGACTGGGGGTTAGTGATGCTGCTTGTGAGGAGTGCTCCCGCTCTGTGCTGCATCAGGAAAGTTCACTAAAATTTGCTTTCTCTCCCTGTTTTTTAGATGCTTGGGAAACAGGTCTGATGCTTCAGTTTGCAACAGACTTTGTTGCTATTTTGGAGCGAGGTTTGCTAGATTCTGTTAGGGTGTACAGGCAGAACAGATGCCATGAGCTGTGGGACCTCCCCATAGCATACAGTATACTCTCAGATTGTGGTTATCTGGGATGCTGTCTTTCTGGGTGATGAGGAGCAACTTGGCTCCCCTAGTACCTGGCCCTGCTGCAGGCAGGGGTCTTGCCAGCCAACCTTTCTGCCCTGTCCTAGAGAGGGTGACCCGAGTTTGCAGCACTGGCAGGGCAGGTGCAGCCTGTGCATGTGCAGGAGCTCCTCTCCAGCAGGGCAGCATCCATCAGGTGGCCTCTGTAAGCTGCTATTGAAGCTGTCCTGCGCTTAGAGAGTGAGCGGTGTAGCAAAGTGTCCTTTTGCTCCTAGAGGTCCCTTCTATGCCCGCTCCAGCCTGCACTGTGTGTGAGAGCACAGACCAAGCTGAGCTTCCTTTATCACCTGGTTTCTGAGATCCGTAGGACCAGGATGCAGGGCTGCCTGGCCCAAAGAAGAGCTGCTCACTCATCACAAGCTGAGACTACCTTGGGATCAGCCTTCAGTGCCCATGCTTACAAGCTGTGGTGTGAGGCGTGGCCACGGTGGGCAAAGCACCAGCAAGGCTGGCCCTGAGCTCACTTCATGCACCGAACACCCCTCCCCTCTTTGCTGCCTGTGCACGGACAAGGTGTTTGGCAAAGCAGTGGTATCCAATCCTGCTTGCAAGGCCCTGGAAGTGCTTGAAATGCTCACTCTCTTCCTGTGGCCCAGCTGCTGGTGACTTGGCCACGTTTCATTCAGCTCCTGGCTTGGATGTGTTTCTTGGGGCACATTCCAGTGGGCTATTCACTAGATGAAGCAGGAGGTTGGCAGGAGGACACCAACTTTTTCTTTCACCCTTTTCCTTTACTGTAGTTTTAGTAGGAGGACAATGGAGAATAACTTAGAGTCAGCAGGTAACAGGAGCAATTGGGGGACATCAGGTGGATGACTGACAGGGATAAGAGTGATCCACCACGAAGGTCTGTCAGGAGGCAGGGAGTTTCAACTGGAGAAGACTGACA